ACTGGAAAGAGCTCTGTTCTTAGAGTCAAAAGACCCAGTCTCACTCTTGGTGCGCCCACCTATTGCCTGTGCCTCCCTGAGAAGCTGCTCTAGCTTTCAAAGTCTGTCCAGTGGAAATAGGAAGGCTGCCTGCACCTGTGTGGAGGCTGCAGGGAGCATCCACTGGTAGACTGAAGGGACTCATTGATGGATGCAAGGACAAGTATCAGTAAAGTCACATGACCTTTCTGCCTCTCCATCCTCACCTACACGAATGACTCATCTCATCCCCCTCTGGACTTGTCTCTTAGCTGAGGTTCTGTGGAGGGGGGTTTTCTGTCTACATCTCTTTATTTTCCTCATTAAACATGTGCTGAGGTTAAGTTTACTATTAGGCTGAGACTTTCTGTAGGGCAGGGACAGAGCCTCCTTAGTCTCATTTTTTGCCCAGGTAAGGACCTGCAATAAATCCTGGCCCCATAGCACACCTCTTCAAAGGGACCCTGGAGGCAAGGGGTCAGGGAAGCCCCCGCCTGACTGAGCATAGGCTTCCAACAGAAGAAGGAGAGCCCCCTTCCGTCTCGGGGCACAGTCTCACAGGAATTTTCCTTCTGCTTCTGCAAGTAAGCTCACTTCCTCACTAAACATTTTGGCCAGCTGCTTTCAATCCTAATGTTTTGGCAGCCAAACAGCATGCTGTTCTGCAAAAGAGTCAGGAAACGCTAATGATCCGATATTAACAGCCTCTCAGCTCGCCCATGTTCCTGCTCAGAACCCAAGGGTGATAACGGGGACACAGCGTCTCCAGGCCTCTTTCCTGGGACTCCTGCTTTAGGGCCCCTCCACTTCACAAGCACACAGAAACTATATTTATGAAGGAAGCCTTGGGTATCTCTCTTGTTAGGGATCTGCTGCAGATTCTGCTACCGCGTGACCCATAACCTCAAACACCCTCATTGGAAATGACACCACTCAGGCCTCAGGACAGCGCTTCTTGGTATCTCTTTTCTATGTCCTTGAAACAAAAGATTATTATGTCTGAACATCAAGATCTGTGGGTTGTGTTGCTTCTGATGTTGGAGATGGACATTATTTCAGAATGTGTGTTAGCTGGAGAGGGGGGAGGCGGTGATTGGCAGAAGCACTAGAATCAAAGAAAAGACAAATTAATTAAAATGTCAAAGCCTTGCTCTCACACAGCAAGAATGCAATAGATTCTTGCATAATGCAGTCTGTGTTGCATGTCCATTTTCTCGCTTCTCCATTTTCCATTTTGTGATTCTGGAGTGACTGATAATTAGTGTAGTATTTCCAACAACTGCACATAGCAGTTAACAGACATTTTGCAATATTAAACATTCATATTACTCTCATGCTGTGTGTGTGTGTGTGTGTGTGTGTATAACCAGGGTTTCTCAACCTCGTTTGTTGCATCATATGCATTGCAGGATGTTTTGCAGCATCCCTGGCCTCTATCCACTAGAAACCAGTAGCAAGTTGTGTAGCTAGAGATGTCTCCAGACAGTACCAAAGCCTCTTGCAGAGCAGAATCACCCCCAATTGAGAGCCATTGGTCTAGATATAATGTACATTAAAAGTGATATTGTTTTTACACTGGCTACTACAGTTCAGTCACTCAGTTGTGTCTGACTCTTTACAACCCCATGAACCACAGCATGCCAGGCCTCCCTGTCCATCACCAACTCCCGGAGTTTACCCAAACTCATGTCCATTGAGTTGATGATGCCATCCAGCCATCTCATACTCTGTCATCCCCTTCTCCTCCTGCCCTCAATCTTTCCCAGTATCAGGGTCTTTTCCAGTGAGTCAGCCCTTCGCATCAGTTGGCCAAAGTATTGGAGTTTCAGCTTCAACATCAGACCTTCCCATGAACACCCAGGACTGATCTGGATGGACTGGTTGGATCTCCTTGCAGTCCAAGGGACTCTCAAGAGTCTTCTCCAATGCCACAGTTCAAAATCATCAATTCTTCTGTACAACTCTCACAACCACACCTGACCACTGGATAAACCATAGCCTTGACTAGACGGACCTTTGTTGACAAAGTAATGACTCTGCTTTTTAATATACTGTCTACGTTGATCATAACTTTCCTTCCAAGGAGCAAGCGTCTTTTAATTTCAAGGCTGCAATCACCATCTTCAGTGATTTTGGAGCCCAAAAAGTAAAGTCAGCCATTGTTCCCACTGTTTCCCCATCTATTTGCCATGAAGTGATGGGACTGGATGCCATGATCTTAGTTTTCTGAACGTTGAGCTTTAAGCCAACTTTTTCACTCTCCTCTTTCACTTTCATCAAGAGGCTCTTTAGTTCTTCTTCACTTTCTGCCATAAGGGTGGTGTCATCTGCATATCTGAGGTTATTGATATTTCTCCCGGCAATCTTGATTCCAGCCTGTACTTCAACCAGCCCAGTGTTTCTCATGATGTACTCTGCATAGAAGTTAAATAAGCAGGGTGACAATATACAGCCTTGACGTACTCTTTTTCCTATTTGGAACCAGTGTGTTGTTCATGTCCAGTTCTAACTGTTGCTTCCTGACCTGCATACAGGTTTCTCAAGAGGCAGGTCAGGTGGTCTGGTATTCCCATCTCTTTCAAAATTTTCCAAGTTTATTGTGATCCACACAGTCAAAGGCTCTGGCATAGTCATTAATGCAGAAATAGATGTTTTTCTAGAACTCTTTTAACTTTTTCGGTGATCCAGCGGATGTTGGCAATTTGATCTCTGGTTCCTCTGCCTTTTCTAAAACCAGCTTGAACATCTGGAAGTTCATGGTTCACGTATTGCTGAAGACTGGATTGGAGAATTTTGAGCATTATTTCACTAGCATGTGAGATGAGTGCAATTGTGTGGTAGTTTGAGCGTTCTTTGGCATTGTCTTTCTTTGGGGTTGGAATGAAAACTGACCTTTTCCAGGTCAGTTTTAGAATTTTAAAATCACATATTAGAATTTTAGGAGTAGTTTTTTAAGCTTAATTCAAATAATTTTGGATAATATTTTCATATTCATTAATTATAACTTGTAGTTTATCTTTTATATCGTAAAATATAGTAAAAGAAATGTTACTTTTTTGAAAACATGTATGAAACTTTCATATTCAATTAGTTTACATTTGTGTGTATATGCTCAGTCATGTCAGACTCTCTGAGGCCCCATGGACTGTAGCCCTCCAGGCTTCTCTGTCCATGGAATTTTCTTCCTCCAAGGGATCTTTCTAACCCAGGAATTGAACCCACATCCTGCATTAGCAGGTGGATTCTTTACCACTAGCACCCCTTGGGAAGTCTCAGCTTATGTTTAGTGTGATCTGCACGTTATGATGGAAATATGCTGAGACTTTGGACACTTTTAATATATCCAAATTTAAAAAATCTAGATCATTACCATCATTAGTATATACTTGATGTGAATATCTTGAGTGTATAACAACACAGTTAGTGACTTTGCTGAAATAAAAACATGAAAAATATAAGTTAGGGCATAAATATAGGCTAATTTATTAATTATGTGTGCTTTTATTATTCATCCCAATATTACTGGCCAAGAGGTGCACAGTAATAATTTGTCAGTCATTTTTGACATTTGGCTAAATTTTAGTCATATAAAAACTATAGCTTGGGAGGTGAGAGGGAGGTTTAAGAGGGACGGGACATGAGCCTATGGCTGATTCATGTTGATGTATGGCAAAAATCAACACAACATTGTAAAGCAATTATTATCCACTTAAAAATAAAATGTTAAGATATATATATATATATATATATATATATATATATATATATAGCTTTAGGGACTTCCCTGGCAGTCCAATGGTTAAGACTTTGCCTTCCAATGTAGGGGGCAGGGCAGGTATGATTCCTTGTAGGGGAGCGAAGGTCCCACATGCCTTGTGGCCAAAAACCAAAACACAAAACAGAAGCAATACTGTAACAAATTCAATGAAGACGTTAAAAATGGTCCACATCAAAAAAATCTTTTAGAAAACTATAGTTTTATACATATTTTTTATTTTGTGGTTTTAAAGATATATTCATCAGAGTAGGAGGCTCGAATAGACTTTATTGAACAGTTTTTTCATTGGTTTATAGCTTCAAAATACACAGACATATCATCCTTGGGGGTCCACTTATCCTTTGCCAATGGGTCTGGCACATGTGAGGAACAAGTCTGATCTTGCGCCCTCGACCTGAGGCCTCAGTTCAGGCTTTAAATGGGACCATGTATGTTCTAGAGCCAGAGGTAGAGTGTAGGAGGTGAGAAGAGGTTGAGGAGAGATGGGGAAGCTGGTTGATCAACTGTAGGTCTGAGGCCCTGAACCAAACAGGTGAAATGGATAATTCTCTCCTGGGGGCTTCCCTGTCTCATCCCAGCTTCTAGGCTCCTCTTGCTCCACCCCAGCCCACTCCAGTGTCCAACCTCAGAGCACAACCTGACGCATCTCCCGCTCAACTATTCAACAAGTGCTTTTGCATCATCTGCAGTATTCCATGCTTGGGACTGGGCCACAGGATACAAAATAGTTCTTGCTCTTAAAAAGCTCACCTAAAGAAGGAGAAAAACCCTCTCAACCCCATTGTTTTTTCTTCTTCCATTTTTCTTGTTCTTTCTCCACCCATGAGCCATGTTAAAGGAAATGCACATTTGAGTAACTGTATTTGTTAAGCTCCAAGTTTACTTTTTCAGAGTCTTGCCTTCTACTGACCTAAGTAACAATGAATTTAATTAAATTAATAGGGGCTTACTTATTTTACCTGACAGGCAGGAATCTGTCCTCAGAGGACCCAAGAATCCAGAAAACTTTGGTTCCTGGTCTTAAGGGGCTCATGCACAGTAGAGAGGCAGGCAGGTGAGCAGTGAACCCTCTTAAGCTGGGCTGGGGCCATGCAGAGAGTCTGCGCAGAGTGCTAAGATGATAGAGAAGGGGAAAGGGGACTTTTTCTGGGGCATTCAAGTGAAGCTTCACCATGGGTGCTATTTGAGCTGAGTTGTGCAGGGTATGTGGACGCTTCCAGAGAGCAGCAGGAGAAGGAAGGCAGAGGAAGCAGCCCGGGCTAGTGCACAGCTGACAAGGACAAGCATCTGCGGTGGTGACCCAGGACACGGCACATGGTAAGTGCTCTATGCTTTCCAGTGCCCTTCAGCTGTATCCTAGCACCGTGACAGTGGTGTGCTCACCACATGTACGTGCTCAGTCACGTCTGATTCTTGAGACCCCATGGACTGTGGCCCACCAGGCTCCTCTGTCCATGGGATTTCCCAGGCAAGAATACTGGAGTGGCTTGCCATTTCCTTCTCCAGAGAATCTTCCTGATCCAGGGATCAAACCCAAGTCTCCAGCATCTCCTGCATTGCAGGTGGATTCTTTACCACTGAGCCACTAGGGAAATCTTTGTTCACCATAGAGCTTAAATTATTTCTAGGCACATAACACCTAGCCCCAGAGTACAATTGCTCCTGGGGTTTTCTGGCCCTAAATGCTAAGGCTGTGCCCTTCTAGAGATGGCTGCCATCGCTGCAAACAGAGGGGGAGGGCAAGAGGCCAGGCTGAGGACAAACTGGCTAATTAGTTAGTTAGCAGCATTGATTGACTCCCTGCCCTCCCAGGGTGGCAGTGGAGATCAAAGAAATGAAAAATGGTGAGTGGGGTGGAGCGGAGAGTGAGGGTTGTGGGAGGAAAGCTGTTGTTTCTGAAATTGCCAAAGAGTTAGAAGACATCACTCTTTTTAAGGAATAAACACCCTTGTTTGGGAGGAAAAACATGTCTGTGAAATGCCAAAGAAGGGATTTTAGAAGTTTTGCAAACAAAGCATCAGCAGGTAAACAGGGAGAGAATCCCCAGGGCTAGAGGGTTGCAGAAGGGAGGGAGCGACGCTGGTGGGTGAGGTTAATCCAGATGCGCTTCCCAGGCAAGATGCACATGGGCTGCCCAGGAAGAAGGCAGTGTGCACGGCAGGCAGTGCACAGCGCAAGTGAGTTAGCAAGGCATGTGGAAAAGCAGCAAGCAGATGTGGCCAGGTAGGGCAGAGAGGCAAGGCCCACAGAGAGAAGGCCACTGTGCGGAAGGGCAGAGGCTGAGGACACTGGCGATGGGGCAAGGGCTGGTGAAGTGAGAACTGGAGTTGAGAGGAGGCTAAAATGCTAGCTGTAGAAATGTTGGGCTGGACACCTTTTAAGAGCCACTCCAATCCTGAGACCTCCCTTGCAGAAAGTCACACTCTTTGAAGAACCCACCTCACTCTAGCACAACACAGTCCTCAGCTCCAGGGGCTATATCCTGATGGATTTAAACTAATCTCATCAACACCATTCCCCTTGGTTTATGAGGGGTCTGTGGTCAGGCCTGGTTAGTGAGCCCTGCTGGCAATGTGCTAGAGGGTCAGGAACCAACAGCCCATCTTCGTCCTGTACATGATACTGATGTGTCTGGACGTGAGATGTGGAACGACCACTGCCATCTTGCCAACAGCCTGAGCATGAAGCCAGTGCAGAGAGGGGCTGAGTAGAGAGTTCAGAGCAGAGAGGTAGAGGCTGACATCTTGCACCAGCAGCCTCCCCTCCCCCAGGATTTCTTACAATGTGAAATGATAGATCCTCCTATCTATCTATCTATCTACATCTATTTATAATTTCCCAGTCCAGTAGAGATGGGAAAGTGCTAGCCTAGAAAGAGGAACCTATCAAGGAAGCATGATATATGCAAGCATCTAGGAGCATTTTAGCATGATTAATACATGAAGTTCAGGATGCCATGTGGCTAGAGAGGTGACCAGAGGTGCAGGCAAGGGCCAAGTCTCAGGGGACTTATACACTTTGCTGGGGAAGCTGATCTCTGGGATATTTGGGATGTACTGATGAGAGGGTTAAATTACCCTGAATAAAAAGTTGGTAAGCCACAGGATTGGTGAAAGAAAAATAACCTAATAACCAGCCTAATAATAGGCTGGTTTAGGTGGAGATCAGCACTGCACAGAGATCAGAACAAGGGCTCTGGTGACAGAGGTCAAGGTTTGAATCACAGTTCTACCACTTACGAGTGATGTGCTTTGAATGAACTTCTCTGAGCCTTGGTTTTCTGGGAGATGGTAAGTCCCACTCCTCAGGGAGGTTATAGGGTGTAAGCCAGTTCTCTCTCTGATGTCCTGTACACCTCTGCTCCACAAATGCTCACTGGGTACCTGAAAGGTGCCAGATGCCATGCCAGGGATGGGTACAATGTCATAAAGGGCCACTCTGGGGACCTCCCTGGTGGTCCAGTGGTTAAGACTCTATGCTCCTAATGCAAGCGGTCCAGCTTCAATCCCTGGTCGGGGAACTAGATCCCACATGCCATAACTAAAGAACCTATATGCTACAATGAAAATCAGAGATCCCATGTGCTGCAATTATGACCCAGTACAGCCAAATAAATAAATAAAGGGCTATTTCTGCCATCATGGCCGGCAAAGAGGCCAAGGCATGAGAAGACCAATGTCAATGTAATATGCAAAGTGCAAAGTAGAGGCAGACGCAAGTCTATGAAGAGCAGTTCTTTTAAAAAATGCAATGAACAAAAAGTCCAATGGTTGTAAAACTTCAGTAAGTTGGTGACTCTGTTGAGAGATGGGGGAGCCACGCCCCTCTGTATTTTTTCATTGTGGCATACAAGATCTTTAGTTACAGCATGTAGGATCTAGTTTCCTGACCAGGGATCGAACTCACCACACATCAATGCTTTCTTTATCCTACGACCCACAGTTGCCACATTCCTTAGCTTTGCCAAGGGACCAGCAAGAGGGACAGAGCACCCCAGACTTCTTCCAGTGCTCCTTTATTGGTCCACTGTTAGGATCACTTCTCAGGGACAGTTTTGCAGCCTACTTCTGAGGAAGATCTGGCATCTCTCCCAGACCCTATGGCCTCCTGTCCCCTTGGAGCCCTCATCACAAACTTCAGAAAAGCATTTCTGGGGGGCACCCTCACACCCCTGCTCAAAGCAACACCAAGCCCATGCCTAATCAAGCTCCATCTGAAACAAATTCTTTCTTGGATGGGAATCAGGCAAGGATTAATTCTCTTTGCTCAGTCCCAAACCATAACCTTTTGGAAAGGCTGTTAGAGACTTCTTTGAGTCATGGTTATCCCAGTTATATGGCCCCCTTCATCAGACAGTCTACAAGTCTATCACACCCACAGTCATTGAAATCAGTTCATATTCTGGTATTCCAGCTTCAAATCTGCTTCAAGCTTCAGTGACTCTCTCAAGGAATCCTATGAGTCCTTCCCCAGCGTTCAAAGCCATTCCTCACCTCCACCCCCACCAAAGCAAAGGAGGGTCATATTAACACTAAGCCAATTGAGAATTTTTTATAGAATTATAACACGTGTACAGAAAAGTGCACATACCATAATGGCACAGCTTAATAAATGATCACAACATGACTAGCCATGTGACCATGACCCAAAGTAAGAAATAAACCATTACCAATCCCCTGGAAGCCTCCCCCGTGTGCTTCTTTATCATCAACCCCACTCTCCTCCTCAAAGGTAACATCTATCCCGACTTCTAACACTGAAGGTTTAAGCAGGGAGGAAATGCAATCATACTTGTCCTCTGGAAAGTGCTCCCTGGCATGGAAGAAGACAAGTTTGTAGGCAGGGAGATGAGTTTGGAGTCTGCTGCAGAGATGGTGATGGCTGGGACAAGAAAAGAGGCAGGGCAAAAGTGAGTGAGGGAGGGATGAAGCGGAGAAGAAAGAAAGGAGAGAGACGGGGGAATGGGAGGCTCTGAGACCAACTTCCTGCCAACTTGTCCACTCTGTTGTGTTTTTTTTATGGTCTGCAAATTGAGTAAATGGCCTTAAAAGCTTCCTGCCCTCAACCCTGCAAGTCTTTTACGCAAATCAGTCACCCAGAAAGCAAGCCTCCCACTGGTGCTTAATTCACTCAAGGAAAGATTAGAAGATCCTGGTTACCAAGCTTTGAAAAGTTGCTCATAAAATTCAGCAGGAGCCTGCAATCCTCAGAGACTTCTATTTTTACCAAAAACACACACTGAGAAGTGGAGAATTTTCAAATGAATTAGACATGAGATTGATCTTTTTATACAAAAGAAGAGAGAAAAGCGACAGTGATGCTGAGTTTGAACTACCACCCCCCCCTCCAGCCCACCCCCACCTCCACCTCCGCTCCGATTTCCCAAAACTGCCTCTGCTCACGGCTTAAGGCAGGCCTGAGCTCTGGCCACGTGGTCTGCACAGACCACGGCAGGGGCTGGTGGCCAGAGATGTCCTACAGTTTCACCAAGACGATGAACTTAGTACACAGCCACCCAGACAGAGCCTGCTTTCACCCAGAGGAGCTGGTCAAAATGGTTCGCTCCAGCGCTTGCTGAGTAGTAAAAATGACTTATACTGTGAGTGAAAATTGTTGCTGAGGAGGCTTTAAACGTAACATGCTCCGGCAGAGTTGGTGATCCACCCCAGCTGGTAAGGTAAAGCCCTGATGCTTTCCAACCCCTGTTCTATATCTACCAAGCTGGGGTCTCCCTCAATACTGCAGAATCAGCTACCGAACACTTCCTGTGGCTGGGCTCAGTCAAGGTCTCTGTGCTTTCTCTTATGAACTTCTCCTGGGCTAGATCTGTGGTGGTTCAGCGTGCTCTGTGGAGCCCCATGGATTGGGTGAAGGGAGCAAAAGGCCCCTGAGCAGATGATGTTCTGAGCCTGCTACAAACTTCAAGTAAAGAAGCTCCACTTTTAAACTGGGCTTAGGACAACATAGTCATCCTTTCCTAAAATTTTGTGAGACAGGTTTGTCTCTGTCTTCTTGGCCATAGCAAGGTGACTAAAAAACAAATTTGCACATGGCTTGGCAGGTAGGAAAAGATAACCCCTCAAAAGCCTGTGTCCTTCAAAGGGCTGGAAAGGGATGACAAACTCAAATGTTAATGAAGTCAGCAGACAGCTCAAACCTGTTCTCTGTGACAACCTCTAGGAGTGGGAGGTGGGAGGCAGGGCCAAGAGGGAGAGGATGTATATATGTGTACCTATGACTGATTCTTGTTGATACATGGCATAAGCCAACAAACATTGTAAAGCAATTATCCTTCAAATAAAAAGAGAGAAATTTTT